CATTCTCCCTGGCTGCTATGATTGGTTCATAGGTGGGCTGTGGCCTAAGCTGGGCCAATGAGAGCCAGCCCTGGGACTTTGGCTACAGTTATTGAAAGTGGTGTGTTTTTTCCTCCTGCTGTTGCTATTCTGGTAGGATGTGAGCCTGTTGCTGCTGAGGGCCATCTTGCTTCAAAGGCTGCCTGAGAATAAAGCCAGTATAACAAAAAGCAGAGACAAGGGATGTATAAAATAAAAGTTCCTAGGTTACATGGTTGGAGCCCCTGGGTCTAACCATAAACTGAAGGTGAATTTTCAATAAAGTCCTGTGTTGTTTTTTTGTTTAGACTACTTTGTGTTTCTGTCAATTGCAATTGATAGAGGTCTGCCTAATACATTTGGAAAGGCCTGAGTCCCTGAGAGAGAGGAATTCCACATCTATCCCAACCTGTGTGTGTGGAGGGAGTGTATTCAGGCAGCTGAACAACGGTACCAGTGGTATAGGTATGGCGTTAACAGGGGAGTACAACTGGCCCCACTGGTCCTTTTGTGAGAAGGCTTAGGAGAAGGATGGGAGCCAGAGAGCACTGGAGAGGGAACCCTGCCTCGACCTCTTCCTTTGGTCCCTGTTCTCCCTACTCAGGGAGTTCCTCACCTTTGACCTGGATGGTCAGTTCTGCCTGGCGAGCTCCTAGGGCATTGGTGACGTTGCAGATGAAAGTTGTGTTGATTGGTTTGTCCACAGGACGGATCAGGAGCTGGGCGCCCTGGGCCACAGCGAAGGGTGGCAGGGGACCCATGGTCCTGGGAGCGACAGAAAGGTGAGGAGGTGGCCTCTGCTGCAGGTCCGGAGTGACAGTGATTGAGCACTCACTGCATGCCAGGAACCCTCACACCCTCTATGGCATAAGCGGAGAGCAACTCTGGAGGCCCCCCAACTCTTCCCTTCCTCTCATGCCCACACCCAACCAGAGCCAATCCTGTTGGCTCTGCCTTAAGATCTACCCAGAATCCCACCGCTCCTCAGGGCTTCCAGGGCCACTTCCCTGCTCTGGCGCGGTGCATCCGGGCCCCCAGCAGCCGCCTCCACACTGGGCTCTGTTTCTGCCCTGGCCCCCTCATCTTTTCCCCATATGGCCACCAGAGGTCGCCTGTGAACCCTAAGTCAGTTCCCATCCCTCAGCTCAGTACCCTCTGGCGGCTTAGCCTGGCTCAGAGTTAAACCGAAGTCTTCTCCTGGCACAGGCCCCACATGATCTGGTCCCTGCTACCTCTGCCCATGTTTTCCATTACTTTCTGCTTTGCTCCCGCCTCTGCATCTACAGTGGCCTCCTTGTTGGTCCTCAAACTCTCCAGTTAGGTGTCCAGTGTGTTTGCTTATGTAGGATGGATAGAAATGGGTTTGCCCATGCCGTTCCCTCTGCCCGAATGCTTTCCCCCCAGGTACCCGCGGAGCTCACCCTCATCTCCTTCAGGCCTCTGCTGGGATGTCACCTTAGTAACACCTCACTTGGCCACCCTATTTCAACTGCGATGATCACCCTTCCCACCCCCTTCTCTCTTATTTTTTTTTTTTTGAGACAGGGTCTTACTCTGTCACCCAGGCTGGAGTACAGTGACGCCATCTTGGCTCACTGCAACCTCCATCTTCTGGGTGCACAGAATCTCCCCACCTCAGCCTCCTGAGTAGCTGGGACTACAGGTGCGTGCCACCACACCCGGCCAATTTTTGTATGTTTTTTGGTAGAGATGGGGTTTTGCCATGTTGGCCAGGCTGGTCTCAAACTCCTAGCCTCGAACTCCTAGCCTCAAGTGATCCTCCCATCTCTGCCTCCGAAACTGCTGGGATTACAGGCATGAGCCATGGCACCCAGTCCCATTCCCTTCTCTGCTTTATCTTTTCCACGGTATTTATCACCATTGCGCACACACTACACACCTCATGACTTTATCTTGCTACTTGTTTCTTTCACCATTAGAATGGAAGCTCCATATGGGGAAGAAATTTGGTCTGTTTTATTGACCTGTGTACGTCGGTTAGTTGCACCTGGCTTACTTACTACAGTAAGCAGTCAAGAAATACTGGTTTAATGAACAGAGGTGGAGGAGATGGAAGCATCGGGCTTTGGGCACTCTGCAGAGCTGGGATGCAAACGCAGCCATCCGGATCAAGAGCCTGAATTGTGGCACTTTGAGGCAGGACAGTAAAGGCACCATTACACCAATCAAAACCTTTGACTAGCAATTCCTTCCACTGACAACTGCTGACAAGTGACCACTGGGGATGGTCACCACCATGGCATATGCAGAGTTGAAAATGGAAAATGACATCTGTGTCCTCTACTGGGGACTGGTTAAATAACTGATGTCATCCACATATGTTGGAATCCCTTCCCTGCCCTTTGGGAGGCCCAGGCGAGAGGATTGCTTGAGTACAGGAGAGTTCAAGACCAGCCTGGGCAACATAGTGAGATCCTGTCTCTATTCTTAAAATTGTGTTTTTGTTTTTGTTTTTAAAGTGATGGAATCCCAGCAACATTTAAAAAGGGGCCAGGTTAGCCAGGCGTGGTGGTGTGTGCCTGTAGTCCCAGCTATCTGGGAGGCTGAAGCTAGAGGATCACTTGAGCCCAGGAGTTCAAGGCTGCAGTGAGCTGTGATTGTGCCACTGCATTCCAGCCTGAGCAACAGAGTGAGGCCCTGTGTCAAAAAAAAAAAAAAAAAAAAAAAAGCAGGGAAGCTGGGGGTGCTCTGAAGTGCATAATATGATTGATGGATGAATAGAGGGACTGAAGGAATCACAGAAACATGATAAAGCAAGCACAGTAAAATGTTAGTGGGGGAATCCACGTGGTGGAATCTTAGGTGCTCACTGGAAAATTCCTGACTTTTCGGTATGTTTGACAGTCTTCCTAATACAACGCGGGGGAAAATGGAGTGTGGATCTCTGTGCTTTGACATGGAAAGGTATTCACAAGATACAGGAAAAGTTTCAAAATTATATGTATAGCATAATTCCAGTCTTTGTTTAGAAACAGAGAGAAAGAAGACAGAAGGATGTATAATAAGGGGTCACTGGTTATTTCTGGAGGTGGCTGGGTACACTTGACTATAGGTGCTACTTTCTTCTTTTTGCTCATAACTAAATTGTTTGATATTTCTACAGTGGATACAAGTTAGTTTTGTAATAAGAAAAAAGATGTAAGGCTGGGCGAGGTGGCTCACACCTGCAATTCCAGCACTTTGGGAGGCTGAGGTGGGTTGATTGCTTGAGCCCAGGAGTTGGAGACCAGCCTGGGCAATGTGGCGAAACCCTGTCTCTGCAAAAAAATACAATGAAATTAGCTGAGTGTGGTAGTGTGTGCCTGTAGTCCCAGCTACTCAGGAGGCTGAGGCGGAAGGATCACCTGAGCCCAGGGAGGTCCAGGCTGCAGTGAGCTATGATCACACTGCTGCACTCCAGCCTCGGCGACAGAGTCCCTTCTTAAAAAAAAAAAAGGTGGTTCAGTAAAATTATGTAAATTATGTAAAATTATGTATTATAAAATTTTGTATTATCCCTTTGCCTTTATCTTACCCTGCTCTTGACCCCAGCTTCAATATGAATCTGGGGAAATCTTATTGCTGTGAGCCTCAACTTTCTCATCTAGACAATGGGGATAGTACTTGCTCCGTCCAGAGATAACCAAGTAGGTTACACAAGGTGACGGTGAGGTGGTTACAGTCTAGCGTGGGGGTGTCCAATCTTTTGGCTTCCCTGGGCCACACTGGAAGAAGAACTGTCTTGGGCCATACATAAAATACACTAACACTAATGATAGCTGATGAGCTAAAAAAAAATTGCAAAAAAAAAATCTCATAATGTTTTAAGAAAGTTTAGAAATTATGCGGCCTGCAGGTTAGACAAGCTTGGCCAAGAGGCGGAGGACCAGCTTTGGAGCCAGGGCTGATTCAAGGGCCGCTTCTGCCCTCTCGTGGCTGGTCTTTAACCTGGGCATGACAACAGCTGCTGACTCTGCACAGCATGGGGTCACGTGGGATTCGGGGGAAGTACCGGGCACAGAGCAGGCACAGCCCAAGAGCAGGTGCATCCACCAGCCAGGATTAAACCACCTGCTAAATGCCTCAACTGCAAAACAGAGATGCCCCCCACTGGGCATCTCTTCCCTCCTTTTTTTTTCTTTTCTGAATCCCCCTGCCCTCTTAGACCAGGATTCCAGGCCCCCAGCCTCTCCTCCCTCAGACCCAGGAGTCCAGGCCCCCAGCCCCTCCTCCCTCAGACCCACAAATCCACACCCCCAGCCCCTCCTCCCTGAGACCCAGGACTCACGTGCTCCAGTTGTAGCCTGTGGGCTCTGGGTTGCTGCGAGCGTCGCAGGTCAGGGTGGCCTCATTCTGGCTGAGGTACCAGTTGTTATCATAGCCAGAGAAGGATACCTCTGGGGGGTCTGCAGGAAATGGACACAGAGGTTCAGAGACAGGGAGACTTTGGGGAGCCGAGGGCTACCTGGGATTCACATCACTGCAGGAAAAGGCCTGGGGATATTTGGAAAACAGCGGGAGCTGGAGAGGCCTAGGAGTCGTCTAGGGAGATGGGGTGCCGCAGAGAGCAGAAGCCTGGGAGTCTGTGGTCACTGGGCACATGGAGAGGGCTTCTGAGGACCTGCTTTTCTCCACTAGCTTTCCTGGGTGGCCCGGACCAGGCATGTCTTGGGTGTCCTGCGGGAAAAGGCCTCCTCCTTTTCTCACTCATAGGCAATGACCACTCATAACACACGGCAGTGTATTCAAGGCTCCGACAAGTCCTGCGGGAAAGAGTCCCGGATAACCCTGCTCTAGGCTGCTGCTCAGCCATCCCAGATGTGATTGACAGTGAGGGCCTTTCGATGTCCTCAGGGGACAGGCCCCAATGGGACAGGGTTTTTTGGGGGGTGAGGGGTAGGAGTCAGTGTAGATCTCCTCCTCGCTCAGACCCAGTGACAGTGTTGAGGGACTCCAGGATAGACAGTACCTGAGGAAATCTGTGTACCACTTGCCTGGCGGGGGAGTAGGCAGTATAGACAACGATGGGAGGAACAGTATGAATGATGCCTAGAAGAGCTTGTGTGGATATTACTGATGGGCTCAGTGTAGACAGGATATTGGAATATTACAGTAGATGCTATACTGTCAGGCCAGTGTTGAAATGTTGTGGTGGGGGTGAGATCACCCCCACATATAGAGTGTGTCCCCGGGAGCTGGTGAAATTAAGACAGGCCCTGTGTGTGTATGTGTAGACAGTATTTGGATGAGCCAGTGTAGACGATGTGGGAGCTTAGTCTAGCTGTCGAATGTGGCACTTACTGGCCACATGTGACTACTGAGCACCCGAAATATAGCCAGGCCAAAATACACACCAAATTTCAAAGGCTTTACTAGGGCAAAATAAATGGGAAAGATCTCAAGAATAATTAAAAAAAATTACAAGTTGAAATA